ATGAAGGTGACTCTGGATGAGAGCAACTACAGAGACTGAAGATGGTTAAGAGATTTTATTTAGAAACTAGGCAGTGGACATGAACTGGAAGGCAGTTTGGTCAGGTCAGGTTCTTCTGGGCTTCTGCAGAGAAGAAGAGGCTGGTGAATGAGAGGAAACTGTGCTGGAGGATCTTGGTGGGGGTGACACTCACAGTAGAGAGGCTGTGGTCCGGTCTTGGGGGGGAAGTGTCCCCGGTGGTCTGTGTGCTGACCAGTACTCTCTTCCTGGTTGGAGGTTCGAGGATGGACAGGCAGGCGATCGCAGGTAGGAGGGCTGAACGGTGGTTAACCCGAGATCCTTCTCGGGTTCTTGGTTGTATCTCAGGCGGAGGGTCCAAGGTCTTTGATTCACGGCTGGGTCCAGGGGTCAGAAACAAGGGTTCTGCAGGAAAAGGATCGAAAAAAGATTCAGACTAGACTAGACTTTTACTTCTACAAGGACTAGGACTAGGCTTGGGTTTGGTCTGTTACCAACGCTGTGACGTTAACGAACTGACGCCCTCCTCCTGGTTCCAGCTCCTTAAGAAGGGTGGTGATCACCTCAGATGTAGTGCACCTGCCCGTCCATCCCTGCAGAGGAGAGAGAGAGAAAAACTGGCCTGCACCCGGATGGAACCCGGAGTGTGACAGCACCCCCCCCTCAACGGCCGCCCCCTGGCGGCCGCCCGGAGGAGGAAGCCTCAAAGGCAGAGACCAAATCAGGATCCAGAATAAAAGAACGAGGGACCCAGGACCTGTCCTCGGGACCATAACCCTCCCAATCCACAAGGTACTGGTACCCGCGACCACGACGCCTGGAGGCCACGATCTTGTGGACGGTGAAAGCCGGGTGGCCATCAACGACCCGGGCGGGAGGAGGGGGTCTGGTCGGAGGGACCAACCGACTGGAGGAGACAGGCTTGATCTGGGAGACATGAAATGTAGGATGGACACGGAGGTGCGGAGGAAGCTTAAGGCGGACAGCTGTGGGGCTAATAATCTGGTCGATCTTAAAAGGACAGAGAAACCTGGGAGCTAACTTCCTGGACATGGCCTTTAAGGGAAAGTCCTTGGAAGTGAGCCAAACCTCCTGCCCAGAGGTGTAAGTGGGGGCAGGAATGCGTTTGCGGTCAGCAAAGCTCTTATCTCGACAAGAGGCACGTTCAAGGGCTGCCCTCGTCTGGTCCCAGATCCTACGACAACGGCGAAGGTGGGTTCGTACGGACGGCAAGACTGAGTCAGGGAAGGATGAGGGTAAGAGAGAGGGCTGGTAGCCTAGAGATGCCTCGAACGGGGATAGACCGGTAGCTGCAGAAACATGGGAGTTATGAGAGTATTCTACCCAGGCCAGATGTTGGCTCCAGGTGCTGGGGTTGCGAGAGCAGAGACAGCGGAGGGTGTTTTCTAGTTCCTGATTCAACTGTTCACACTGCCCGTTAGACTGGGGGTGAAATCCGGATGTGAGAGAAACCTTTGCCCCAAAACATCCACAGAAGTCACGCCAAACCCGAGAGATAAACTGAGGGCCGCGGTCGGAGACTATTTCAGATGGCAACCCGTGGAGTTTAAAGACATGGTTAAATAACAACCGGGCTGTCTGATAAGCAGAAGGGAGTTTGGACAAGGCCACCAGGTGGCAGGCCTTAGAGAAACGATCGATAACTGACAGGATAACAGTCTTGCGGTTAGATGGGGGAAGGCCAGTAACAAAATCTAATGCAATGTGGGACCAAGGTCGGCTGGGTCTGGGTAGGGGCTGGAGCAAACCAGCAGGAGGTCTACAGGAACCCTTGTTTTTGGCACACACTGAGCATGCTGACACAAACTCGGCAACGTCTCTATTAAGAGACGGCCACCAAAAATATCGCCGGATTAAGGCGATGGTGCGACTGGAACCCGGATGGCCAGAGAATCTAGAGGAGTGCCCCCAGTGAATAACCTGAGAGCGCACAGCAGAAGGAACATAGAGTCTCTGGGGAGGACCACCACCCGGATCAGGTTCACTCTCTTGGGCTCTTTTAATCTTGTTCTCAAGATCCCAGGTGATGGCTCCCACCACACAAAATTCAGGGACGATGGGAACTGGCACCTTAACCTCTTCAGAAGTGGAAAACAGGCGTGACAGAGCATCGGGCTTCGTGTTCTTGGATCCAGGGCGGTAGGTAATGATGAAGTTGAACTGAGAGAAGAACAGGGACCAACGGCTCTGACGAGAATTTAAACGTCTGGCTGACTGGATATAGGAAAGATTCTTGTGATCAGTCCAGATGACTATGGGCAACTCGGTTCCCTCCAGCCAATGACGGCACTCCTCCAAGGCCATCTTGATGGCGAGGAGTTCTCGATCCCCTACGTCGTAGTTTCTCTCAGCAGGAGAGAATCGTCTCGAAAAGAAGGCGCAGGGATGAAGTTTGCCATCCGAAGGCGACATCTGTGATAGAACAGCTCCAGCTCCAGAGTCAGAGGCATCCACCTCTAATGTGAACTGAGCTGACGGATCAGGGTAGGTGAGAATGGGAGCCTGTGAAAACATCTCCTTTAAAAGGCGGAACGCCTGATCAGCTTCTGGGGACCACTGGAAGACGCTCTTGGTGGAGGTCAGGGCAGTGAGGGGTGAGGCAAGAATACTATAATTCTAGATGAATACCCGGTAAAAGTTGGCGAAACCCAAGAAGCGCTGGAGTTGCTTACGGGTGTTGGGAACGGGCCAGTTGACGACTGCCTCCACCTTTCCGGGGTCCGTCTTCACCTGTCCACCCTCGAAAATGAAGCCAAGGAAGCTGATGGTTCTTTGGTGAAACTCGCACTTCTCAGCCTTAACGAAGAGGCGGTTCTCCAGAAGACGTTGAAGCACCTGGCGGACATGTTGCTGATGTTGTTGGGGGTTCTGGGAATAAATAAGGATGTCATCAATGTACACAAACACGAACTGATTTATAAAGTCTCTCAGGACGTCATTTACGAGGGCCTGGAAAACGGCTGGGGCATTAGTCAGACCGAAGGTCATGACCAAGTACTCGTAGTGACCGATGGGGGTCTTGAACGCCGTCTTCCATTCGTCTCCCTCTCGAATCCGGACCAAGTGATAGGCGTTTCTAAGGTCCAGTTTAGTAAAGATGGTGGCGCCCCGAACCGTATCAAATGCTGATGCCAGAAGGGGAAGGGAATATTTATTCTTTACAGAAATCTGATTAAGACCACGGTAATCGATGCAAGGACGCAATGTTTTATCCTTTTTAGCCACAAAGAAGAAACCTGCCCCTAGGGGTGAGGACGAAGGTCGAATGATGCCGGTCTTTAAAGAGTCGCTAATATATTTCTCCATGGCACCTAGCTCTGACTGAGATAACTTATAGAGGCGAGCAGATGGCAGAGGAGCCCCAGGAAGAAGATCAATAGCACAATCATAAGGGCGATGCGGCGGGAGACTAAGGGCCAGATCTTTGCTAAAAACTAGGTGGAGGTCATGGTACTCGGGCGGCACATTTGACAGATCAGAAGGATCGTCAGGAAGTTCAGGACTAGCCGAGGTGTGAGGGAGAGCTGAATGGAGACAAGTAGCCAGACAACCGGAGCTCCAGGTCTCAATACGCGAGTCTCTCCAGTTAATGTGAGGGTTGTGAGCAGCTAACCAAGGGTAACCTAAAACAATAGGTGAGTGTCTTGTAGGAAAAACGAAAAAAGAAATGGATTCATGATGATTACCAGAGGAGATAAACAGAAAAGGGAGAGTCTGCTGAGTTATAGTAGCTAGTGGGCTACCATCAAGGGCTGTAACAGAGATGGGGGATGGTAAAGTACGGACCGGAATATTATAATGGTTTACTAAGGCTGGATTGATGAGATTTTGCTCAGAACCGGAGTCAACCAAGGCGGAAACAGGGTGCTGCTTGTCCTGAAGGCAAATTACAGCCTGAAGCAGGAACCTAGAACTGGGAGTCTCGGAGCATGTGCCCACCAGTATTCCCTGAACTACTGGTGGGCCAGGTCTTTTGGGCGAAGGGGACAAGATAAACGAAAATGACCGGCAGCACCACAGTAAAGACACCTTCTATTTCTGAACCGCTGTTCTTTTTCTTCGGTAGATAACCTGGCTCTGCCAATTTGCATGGGCTCATCAATAGGCTGACTACCAGAAACAGGGGGTTGTGATTGATGTGACACCACAGGAACCGGAAGACTGAAACGTTGAGCAGGGGAGCGGTCCCGGTCCCGGCCCCGCCTCTCACAAGTCCTCTCACGGAGGCGTTCGTCTACCCGAACAGCTAGGTCAATTAGCCCCTCCAGGCTATCGGGCTTGTCGCGGGTGGCCAGCTCGTCTCTAAGCCTATCTGAGAGAGAGTTTAGGAAAGCCGTCTTTAATGCGCGGTTGTCCCACGCAGCCTGAGCGGCCAGAGTGCGGAAGTCGACGCTGAAGTCAGCAACCGACCGGTTTCCCTGCTTCAGCTCCCACAATCTTTTGCCTGCCTCCTCCTCGCTAAGGGAAGAGGAAAAGGTTTGTTTAAAAATATCTAAGAAGTCAGCATAGGAGTAATCATGGATCGTGGTCTCATCAATAAAAGATTCTGCCCATCTAAGAGCATGATCTCTGAGAAGACCAACAATATGAGCTATCTTATGAGCGTCATCCGGAAAAGATTGTGGGGAGCGACTGAAAACCAAAGAACATTGGAGGAGAAACCCTCTGGACTTACTCAGATCACCTGAAAACGGTTCGGGGACTGGGATTGAGACACCGACTCCGGGAACGGGCGGCAGAGCGGCTACAGCGGGAGGCCTTGGAGCTGGAGGAGGAACGGAGGTAGGTTGATTTAAGTTCAGCAAGGCTTTCATGTCCTGAAGCTCGTGGGTGAGAGTGCTCATTGTCTGCTTCACTTGAGTTTGCTGCTGGACCATGGTTTGTATCAGGGTTTCATGCTGGCCTAGTAACAGGCCCTGATGCGAGATGGCACTCCGTAGCTGCTCACCAGAGTCAGGTTGGTCAGTTCGTTCTGTCATAATGAAGGTGACTCTGGATGAGAGCAACTACAGAGACTGAAGATGGTTAAGAGATTTTATTTAGAAACTAGGCAGTGGACATGAACTGGAAGGCAGTTTGGTCAGGTCAGGTTCTTCTGGGCTTCTGCAGAGAAGAAGAGGCTGGTGAATGAGAGGAAACTGTGCTGGAGGATCTTGGTGGGGGTGACACTCACAGTAGAGAGGCTGTGGTCCGGTCTTGGGGGGGAAGTGTCCCCGGTGGTCCGTGTGCTGACCAGTACTCTCTTCCTGGTTGGAGGTTCGAGGGTGGACAGGCAGGCGATCGCAGGTAGGAGGGCTGAACGGTGGTTAACCCGAGATCCTTCTCGGGTTCTTGGTTGTATCTCAGGCGGAGGGTCCAAGGTCTTTGATTCACGGCTGGGTCCAGGGGTCAGAAACAAGGGTTCTGCAGGAAAAGGATCGAAAAAAGATTCAGACTAGACTAGACTTTTACTTCTACAAGGACTAGGACTAGGCTTGGGTTTGGTCTGTTACCAACGCTGTGACGTTAACGAACTGACGCCCTCCTCCTGGTTCCAGCTCCTTAAGAAGGGTGGTGATCACCTCAGATGTAGTGCACCTGCCCGTCCATCCCTGCAGAGGAGAGAGAGAGAAAAACTGGCCTGCACCCGGATGGAACCCGGAGTGTGACAAAGGTTTAAAGTGAAAAATACTCCTTATATACACTGTGGAATATTTTTCTTAATGCGTAAAGTCATTCTGTTGCATGGTGAGAAAAAAAATGTTCTCTCTTTGAAAAAAGAAAAAACAAAACAGCAGAATTTGTTTTACACTTCTGCATGTGATAAATGGAATTCACACTCCATGACAAACAGTAGGTACAGAGAACTGCTGCATCATCTGTTTTTGTCCTGTGGTGTGAAGTTGCCCGTACTCAAAGCTGTGGCATCCTTGTCAAGGTCCTGAGTGTGTTGTTGGGAGGAAAGTGTAAGAATGTGCTCCTTTCTGTATAAGTAGAACTGGTTAAAATAAGAATAAAAAAAGGGTTTGCCGTTTGGATGAACTGTGAATGTCTGAATTTTTGCCATTACTTATTATATTTCCTACCAGCATAAGGAACTGGGGCATCCTTGTCTAGAGCTACTAGAGGAGGGTCCAGCAGCACTGTCTCCATGTTCTCTGTAATCACTCCATGGTAGGAAGTCTCTATCCAAGGCTTGTGCTTGTTGACTGTAAAAGGAGAAGAAAGAATGAGATAAACATCGTTATTTATTTGTTATCTTTTAAATAGAAACAAAAAAAGTGTGAGGAAAACAACATTTTTGTAGAAGTTATCAATATAAAACTTCAAAAGAAAGCTTTTACACGCTGATTATTGTCCACAACACTTAGTTTGCCGTTTTTGAGACATTTGCTTTGGTAAAACTCAATATGACACTGAACAAATGCATTTCTGCTTTCATATCGGTATTATGACCTCTGCATCTCTTCCTCCACCATCAACACTTTTCTCACAGTAAATTCTTGTTTTTTTGTTTTGCATTTTCTTTGTGCTGTGTGCATTTTCTAAGAAATGGGGAACTTAAATTAAACAATTCAAGAGTGGATAAACTGTAGATTAAAACAGATCATCACCAAAATTGCCCATGCAGCTCAGTAGGTCATCTGATCCCAGGCTTTTCCTCAGTCCACATGTTCCTGAGCTATATTTTAAACTCTCCTGTCTCTCTAGTACATTCTTTACTTGTAAAGTCCGGTTTGGTAAAAACGTACCCTAACTGAATCCAGTGTAATATATACCAATCTAAATTAAACTTCCTCACAGCAGGAAACAAACAGGAGCGTACGCTGAAGCCACACGAACATATGTGGATATTGTGTACTTTGGTGAATCCACACATACAGTCTGTATCTATGGTGTCCAAGAGTCGCTCTCTGCAGGGAGCAAGCATGACACCCTGGCCTTCTAATCCATTGAAGAGAATCTCTTTGTCTAATGCCAGTGAGCAGATGACGCGTCCAGCTGGCATTAATTTGAAATGCACCAAACAGCTCCATCTCTTAAGTTTTTTTATCTGTTTGAATAACACTTCAGGGAGGTTTGTCCTACTATCCCATTTTATCCCTCAGTGGCTATCAAGACATAGCAAAGAACAGGGCTGCTTTCAAAAGATGTAGCTTACACAATATTTACAAATTATTTAGTAATTTTTGAATGTCTAGTGTTGATATAACATACAGAACCTCATAAACAAACCTTGGCTGTCTAAATTAATGCCCTAGCCCCTGGAAAGGGCACTATATAGGGGTTAAATCATTTTATACGAATTTGCAATGTCTAACAGATGAAAAAGTAGTGGACCCAAAATTTCCCAAAATCCATCTTGAAAAGTTGTGCAGATTGATGGTGACTAGATGAGCAGATATATCCCAGAATGATTTGCAAAAGATCTCCTTGCAAAGCATCATGGGATTTGTTTAAGGGGCACAGAGAACAAAGATGGCACAGTCAGAGGAGCCGCAATCACGTGAACAACGAGGAGCGAAAAGTAGTGGTCATCTCTCTGAACGGCTAGTTATCTGATTGCACTGGTCCTCACTCTATATTGTGTTTGAGGGTTTAGGGCGCACATTCAGACTTAGACCTTGCCTTTAATAACTCATTAGCCTCATCCTTCCACCTGCTCGTGCCAATCTGTACTCATTGGTTGTGTCCAAACGTCTGCCCTAACCCCTAAATCCCTCAATCAGTCTATAGTCGGGGACTATATAGTGGACTTAATAGTGAACTCAGTTAACTAAAAGTTCAGACAGAGGATCAAATCTAATTGCACCCAATTAGTCAGGTAACTTCGCCTCTCTGCACTATTATTAATATTTTTCTCCACTACAACAAATCCCATGATGCTTTGCAAGGAGAGCTCGCGCAAAGCAATCTGCTCGTCCAGTGACCATCGATGATCACTACTTTTTAAGGTGTATTGTAGGAAATTTCGAATCTATTACTTTTTCATTCACAGGATGTTCGGACACTCATTTAAAATTGCATAATCAATATATAATGGCCTATATAGTGATTAGGGCGGACGTTCGGACACAGCCATTGTCTTTACCTGAACTATGCCTTTTGAACACTGGCCTATTTTGTTCACTCCTCACAGATGAATCCTGTTTTCTGATGCCTTTATCTCTCTCATCTTGTGCCAAAAGTTGCATCGTTTACAGAATTAAACTCCTTAACCAATTACACTGCCTATGAATACCTGTTTACACTTTGGATCCCTTCCAGTGAAATCCTATTGAAACCACATCACAATTATGCACTGCTTTTAGTTTATCACAATCCTGGTTAAATAAATTAAAAGTTGTTATTTTTAATATGACAGAATGTGTAGAATCTTAACAGATATACCTGTTAATTACCCCAAAGTTCTGTTTTTTAAATACTTTTGAAAAAATAAAAACATACCCAATTAAAAAAAAGATTTAATCACAAGATACATTAACAAAGCCGGCAAATGTGACCAGTATCCAATATTTTTGCCCTTATCGGAGGCACATTCAACGTTGTAACGTGTAGGATAATGGGCCCTGATGACCAAGGTTAAGAAACCTTGATCTAGGCCCAGCAGCATCATAAATGGTGTGCACTTTACTGGAGAAGCCTGTATATGTTAAAAAGAAAAAATCCTTATGCTGCACAAGATATTTTTTTTATGTCAAATTAGTAGAACTTTTGAGCATCACTGGTTTCAGATTCAACAAATTATCTTGAATACCTAGTAGCCAGAGATCCCTCATAACACGACGAGGATGATTTATTTGTGCTGCACTTCATTTCTATGCTTAAGGCAAAATGTCGGGGATCTGGCATCTCAGTACAACACAGATAATGGCATTATATGTGAGGTCAACCTCTCTGTTGGAATGTGCCCTTAACTTTCGAGCAGGAAACTGTGGTTTGAATTGAGACAGAGATTGAAGTGATGACAAAATATTTTTTACTCCATAATTATTGAAAAACTCAGGTTTTCTCTATGAGATTTTACAGCAGAGCTTTGCAGACAGGAAGGCTCCACAAACATTTTTAATTTATTTCTCTTACTTCCTGCCACCACAGTTTTTTTCCTTTTTTTCCTATCTTTTATCTTTATTGTCATTGTCACAAGAAAAACGAAATAAAAAAAAATATGTGCCATCAATCAGTGCATATGATTAAGAACAACAACAACAAAAAAATTATGATGTTCACAAAACCACAAGATAAATTAAAGAAAATAACTGCAGATATCAGTAATGGTAGTAACTGAGTTGGTATCACAATTGAAATTTGAAGCTATATATTTTCATATATGTTAGGGTCTCCAGGCATAATTAGGAACAAAGATAGCAAAGACAAGCACTGCTGAAAAAATTGTATTTTTTAATATTTTTTTTTCTCTTTTTGTTACTTTCAATTAAAATGGTTTCTATGTGTTCTTGTAATTACATGTTGTACAGCTGTTTTCAGGGAGATTTAGATAGAGAAGAGAATCTGTTTCAACTGTATGTCTTTTTTTAAATAAAGCCATGAACTAAGGTTGCACTCCTTATTTTAAGATATATTGGAGGATGTTGTTTTTGCGTATGGATCATGAATATTTAGCCACGCTAAATATTATATATATTTTGCAATAGGAACAGTATTGTTTGACAAGATAACTGCTTTCTACTGAGATACTCAGATTTCTCTACAGCACTAGTACTCACTGCTCCCCCAAAGGCCATCGTTAATAGTTATGCACTGTTTTTTTCTCACCTTCCTTTACATTGTTTTAAAGAGGTCATAATATAGTTCTTGTTGTTCAAAAGTTTAAATACTAACCCGGGAATCTTTCTGGACTATAGTAACAGTTGAATAACTTATTTCTTCCATTAACAGTGCTCTGTAACATTATTGTCCCTGTATGCATCTGGTGACTTTGGGGCTCTGAGCCATTTAGACTGAAGTTTGATGCCAGATTGAATGAGAATGTAAAAACAAAACAAAAAAAAATCACATTTCAACAAAATTTGGAGTTTAGCATCACAAACTGCAGTGCAAACAAAGCATCTATGTTTAGGTTTCCTGTTGGAATTTAGCAATAATCTAAAGGAGTTTTTTTTCCATTTTTTAAGGCTTGTTATTTACTTCGGTAAAAGTGTTAAATAGTCATAGTACATAAAATCATATAAATTACAATATTGCATTTGGAGTTCTTAGATGCAGTGTTCGGTTATAATATGTCAGTTTTGAGCATTGAACTATGATGAGCATCATTATATTTGGCCAGCTAGCTGGATTTTTTTTGCACAAACCATGACATCACTTTCAGTTGCTAAAATGCTAAAGATCAAGATGACTAGTGGACCTTTTGTGATGGTGAAAAACAAAAACAAGTTATGAAAATTGAAGGCTGATTTTAGCAATATTGATTTAACAATAAAAATAATTCTATTTCTCATTCACAGTTAATACCTTTTCAGATAAACACTTTCTGAATTGTTCATTTTTTCACAGAGAGACTGCAGAACAGATAATATAGAGTAAAAAAAAATTATACAAGCCATTTTGCACATAGAGTAGATGGGAAGCATTGCAGCACTCAGCATGAGTTTTCTCTGCTGGAGAGTGGAAAGAGGAGAGTGGTCTGTCTTAAAGTGCAATGAAGACATCTCTAGGCTACACCTGTAATATTGTTCTTGTAATAGAGGATTCAGTGGTGCATTCAGAAGTGCATCACTTCTATTCTGTATTGCTGGTAGGGCATCTGCCTCATCCTTTCAGCCTTCCTCAATTTACATTTCAGCGTTAGGAACATTTCCATAAAAACGTAGAGGTGAAATGAAGTGAAACAATCTTGTAAAAGCTACTCTTCTAAACCAAGAAAATATTAAAATAAGGTAGCTGCCGCACAACACTATAAAAACTGCATCTACCAAAGAAATTCTTTATTTATGCTTCTGCAAGCTACTCATAATGTATACTTTAGTATTCCAATGTACTTAAAGATGTCTTTAGGTAGTTCTGTGTGTCACATACAAAGTTAGCATTACACACATTTTCTGTTTCAGTTTTAATATCCAACATTTATCACAAAGAAATTGGTTGGTGGATGACACAGCAGAGTTGTAGTTGATCACAAGGTGTCTAATAAAAAGTCTGTTTGCAGGGAAAGCATCTACTCAATAGAGTAAATCTACCATTTTCA